AGAGCAGTTTCACTGGAATTGAAGAGGTATTTATTTGAGGTTTTCATTGGCCACAATTTTTGATGTAAAATTTCACAGAGAATTTCAATTTGTCAAGCAAAGATCAAAAAGCTTACACCGATTTCGATGTTGAGAATCGCGAAAAATACATTGCTTCGGTTGAGTGATGAGATAATGCATTGGGATCTTTGAGGTCTGCAAATATCTGGATGTGGACGTTATATCTACCGACGATGCTACTCTTGTTGTGCTCATGGATATCGCTATGGATGAATACAAAATCGCAACTCTCAAGGACATTGCTCAATTCAACTGCCTTTCTCACTATTCTTATTATTGTTAGTTTTGATTCTGATTTTGTAGCTCTTTCATTATCATATTCAATCATTTGACACACGTTTTTTGGGTGGGAGGATAAGGGCGAGAAGGGATCGGATTAGTAGCAGTAAACGGTAACAATGATCCCGATAAGAAATTTAATTGTTATCAATGAACCAACTTAGAAATTAACATTCGATTACCGATTATTAAATTGATTATTAACGTAGAGAATCATCCATTAGGAAAAAGGATTCCCTACGCTAATATCGCTATCTGTGTGGAAAGAATCATGTTAAGGAAATGTGGGGATATAGCTCAGGGGTAGAGCGCTCCCTTAGCATGGGAGAGGGCTGGGGTTCAATTCCCCATATCTCCAGATTACTTTTGAATTTTTCAAATATGACATTTTTGATATTGGTGATACCAGAAAATCATAAACTCGTAATGAGTCGTTGTAAATACTGACTGAATAAATAGATAAATTTCGCACCAACGCTATCGATATTGATGACTGAATTTGCTTTCAGGTGATATGTAATTGTTGGAATCTACAAAGGACATCCTATTTGAAAGCGATTGATATTTGGAATTTGTTGATACTAACGTTTGCGTTCATCGCGATACTTCACTCGGCCATCGTCACCAGTTCGGCTTTGAAGGAGCACGACGTGGTGAGGAGTCGAGTGAGTGCTTCACATCAATCAATTAATATTATCAGTATTTCATTGTGATCATTTTTAACATCATTTAGTAAATCACACAAGCCTACCTATGATCAGATTTGTTCATCTGATTATGAGTCGGAAAGAATTTCTGTATTCTGGAAAATTCCTATTTTTTGCGGTTCTTTTTTCGTACTTCTCTTGTAACATATAGTGAAACTATTATCAACTCTCTTCCCCTCTACATAAAAAAAAATTCGTCCATTTTCAGACATACTACAATGATGAAATGGATGAGAAAACACGCTGGTTAAGTGAGACCCCGTATTATGCCCAACTGCCCGAAGAACAACCGAAAACAATCGCGAAAATTTGTGATTACGTCTTTCGGATATTGTTTCCGGTGGCCTTTCTGGCCGCATCGACCGTTTATTTCTTACAGTTTCTTAAGCCGTATTTGAAATGATTGTATTGTATTTGTATGTAACATATTGGTTGTTTTTGCAATAAATTGTTTTTAGGGTTGTATGAAAGGCATTTTTACGTTTATCTTGAATTGACTCCACAATGGTATAAGTTTTATGAGTAGGCATAAAACCCTGGCAGGGGGAAGCATATTGGATGCACTGAAAAGAATTANGGAAAGAATCATGTGAATGTAGGGTGGGGATATAGCTCAGGGGTAGAGCGCTCCCTTAGCATGGGAGAGGGCTGGGGTTCAATTCCCCATATCTCC